CTCTCCCCAGCTCATCGCGGCTCCGTGTCCGTCTCCTTGCAGGGGAAGCAGAAGAAGGCGCGGAAGTACGCGGTCATGAAGCGCATGATCAGCCTCCGGGACCAGCGCATGTGAGTGTGGCCGCGGCTGTGCCCGGTCCCAGGCGGGGCCCCGGAGCCGGCCGCGCGGGGCTGGTCGTCCCCGTGTCCCGCTCGGGAGGGGCGGGAGGGGATCCCGGCCCAGGCCTCTCCGCCGCTGGCCGCCCTTCCCTGCCGTGCCCCCTAGGAGTGCCTGTGTTTCCTTGCAGTAACGAGAAGGACCGGGCGAAAGCCCCCGTCAAGAAGAAAGAGGACCCGAGTGCCATCAAGGAGCGGGAGGTGTAAGTGCTGCCGACGCTTTGGGGAGGGCCGGCCGGGCGGCCGGCCACGCTGCAGGCTGTAACCAAGGGCTTTTCTGAGCAAAGCTGTCAGAGTAGGAAATGGTGCCCCAAACCAAGGGAGTGGGCTTGGGAGGCAGCGGGAGGCCTGACAGGTCACCCTCCCACGCTGCCTTGTGTTTCTGCTCATTACCCTTCCTTCATTCTGTGCAAGTTGTAGGATTGGATATGCTGTTAATTGCAATTCACTGATTTGAATTCTTTGTCTTTCCGGCAGCCCCCAGCATCCCTCTTGTTTGTTCTTCCAGTATAATACACAGCTGGGCCCCCCTTATCACATCCTGGTTGACACTAACTTCATCAACTTCTCCATCAAGGCCAAGCTGGACCTAGTGCAGTCAATGATGGACTGTCTCTATGCCAAGTGTGAGTGTCTGCATCACTCGCAGCTTCTTCTGGACCACGTAGTGCCACGGTGTGCTCGTGATGTGCTTTATCGGCCTCATATCAATAGCTGAGGATAACAGAAATCTTGAAAAAAAGATATGTGCTATAATCATGGAGCTTATTGTTCATGGCTGTGGTAACCCTGGAACTGTCTTTGGGTTCAGTCAAACAACGGTGTTAAATGCTCATGTCAGCAAAGGTAAAGCATTAATAACTTAAAAATCTAAAATTACCATGGCATGGTCAAACTCAGTGGCTCTACATTTCGTCACTTTGCAACCTTGTAAGTTTAAGACTGTAAGTAATATGTTATAGAGTTCCATGATAGTTAACTGTTCCTGGGCATGTGGGCAATGCCCCCTACAGTAGTAGGGGCCTGTAAAGAAATACTGCTTGGGTTTAATACAGGCTTTTTTTGCATGTAGGTATTCCGTGTATCACAGATTGTGTAATGGGTGAAATTGAGAAGTTAGGACAGAAGTACCGTGTGGCGTTAAGGTAGGTGCAGGGTGTTCTCCGTTTCTAGAACTTAATGTTTTAATATAAATAAATGAAAAACACTTTCTATGACTGTGCTCTTGCACTAGAGGGCGGTTAGGTTGTTGCAGAGTCCCAAACTTGGTTTTGTTTCTCTGGCCATATGAGATCAGTACAATGGCTCAAGTTTTAGGTTATTTTTTTAAAAACCTAAATGCTAGGTATGAGTGCACAATATTGATCTGTAAATCTTTGTTTCCCCCTCTAAGACTTTCAAAATAACACTTCCTCCTGTTTCTCAATATGTGTATATATATATTTTTTTTTTTAATTATAGGAATTTATTTATAGGAATTTCTAAAAATAAAGAAAGAAATATGACCAAAGTCTTATGGAACCTCATGTTATTCCTGTAGGAGTAGGTAGCACGTACTGATGATCTAGAGCCAAGTTATTGTGTGATCTGTACAAAACTAGTCCAATGTAGTTCGTGCTCTCCAGGTGTACCAGTCAGATGTATTGTTCTCTACTTTTTATTTTGGCCTGTTGAGTTGTAAGGTATCTGAGTGCATCCCCTAAACAGCTTTGATGTTCCCCTTCAGAGAGGATGTGAACTATTCCTGTATGCATGGTATGAAAGATCAGATACTTGAAGAAGTTCTAGTTCTTCCCACAGATGCCTAACAAAGTCATTTGAAACAAGTTAAGAGCCTAGCATTGTGGGGATCTTGAACCCAACAAGCACTAAGAAATACTTAACCTATAATAATTAGCCAGACAAATTGCATTCTTTTTTTGCTCCTCATGTCAGTTGACTGTTGTGTACCATTCGCTCCATCCCTTCAGCCCTTGTTTTGAGAATAACATCATAGAAAGGGGCGTTCCTGTTCCTCCATACTGCGTACTGTACACTCTGGTCTGATTGCTGTGACGCTGCCTTATATGTCCCCACAGAATTGCCAAGGACCCTCGGTTTGAACGCTTGCCATGTATGCACAAAGGAACCTACGCCGATGACTGCTTGGTACAGAGGGTCACTCAGGTATTTCTGTTTCTGAAATTTTCTATACTGTGCTAACATACTAAAAATTCCTGAACCCTTCTAGTTACTGATGACTTAAATTTCCCACAGAGTAACTGTAAAATCTCACTAAGGGGCAGTTTCGGTCCCTAGCACAACTGTCTTTGAAGCAAGGTACAGTCTTCCCTGAGCATTCTTGTTGTATAGGACAGCATCAAGGAGCACTTAGGGTGGGAAAGCTGTCAGTTGGGAAGGCTGGACAGCCTTTGGGTGTTTCCACGAGTCTATTTTGATGAGCGGAAGGATGTTACTAGTCTGCTGTGGAGTTCTGTACAAGTCCTAGTAATGCCTTGCTAAGGACTCGTAGGCCTCCTATGGTAAATGAGCTCACTGAATAGAAGCTTTTGCTCAGCTTTGTCTCCTTTCTGCGGGTTCACTGGTGTTGAATCTGACTCGCCTCTTTTTTTGCAGCACAAATGTTACATTGTGGCCACAGTGGATAAAGAGCTCAAGCGGAGAATACGAAAAATCCCAGGAGTGCCGATAATGTATATTTCCAGGCACAGGTAAGGGACCTCTGACAGGGAGGAACACTGCCTGGCGGAATCCTTGTCTGACAGGCGCTCCTACCACCGTGTACTTCTCTCCTGCATTGTCTATAGTGCAGGTTGCAGTGAAGGGCCTAGTGTTTGCACAAACGTAGAAGTACAGCTGCTGCTGGGAAGAGACTGTCCGCAGTCATATTGCAGTCTACATGTTCACTTGCTTTTACCTGGAAAACTAGTTTCCTTGAGGCCAGTGTTTCCATAGATCAGTTTTGCTTACCAGCAGCAGCAGCGGGACTACCAGGTAAATGCATTCTACAGGTTCTTGAGGAAAAGAACCATTCTTGTTCCGTATGCTATTTGGTAGCTTTGAGTACCCTCAGCTAAGAGATTGAATTTGCTTCTTGGATAAAAACCAAACCAACTCAGAAGGATGTTAGTGCAGCAATTTCAACGCAACAGATTTTTCCAGTATCTGCAAGTACTGGCTCACTTTACTGATTTATTTTTTATATGCAGTAGGACCAGTGATCTACTGTAAAAACATTTGCTTAAATTCATCTCCCGTTCCTTCCAAAGCACTCATAAAGCCTAGACTAAGAAGACTTTACTCACCTTTGTTTGTCATATCCAGTGTATTAATATTTCTTCTACATAACGTACAGCTCAGAAGATTTATCTTGCATAGAACCTATACCAAATAGTTTCACAGTGTGGTAGATATGTTTGGTAGCATGGTAAGGAGAGAAGTCAGGACGTGGAGAGAAAAGGGCCAAAGTCTTCAGATGGGATGGGAGAGATACTGGAAAGGAGGCAGTTGTGCTAGCAGTGGAGATAATAAGTCTAGTAATATGCAGAAAGAGCAGTATGTCAGAAATGAGGAGGTTGATTGCTGTAAATATGTAAAGTCTTAACTGATCTATAATTAGAACGTGGCTCAGAAGATTTTTCTCTCAAAACATCTTTGCCCCTTGTTCACTGTGGCCATGAATTGTAAGTTGAATGGCCAAAGTTTTATTCTCCATGGCGGTCTACTCTTAAATCCTAAGTCAGATCTTACAAAACCACCGTTTTTTTCCTCCTCTGGAAATAGTGAGTTTTTGAGATGCCCAATTCTGAATTTGAGGTGAAGGATAACAGCAACCTTATGAAGGCTTTTCACTTTCGGAAGTAGTATTTTTCTTCCTGGGGATCTGAGCTGCATATAGAAATGCAACAAAGCTGCTTGCTGTTCAGTCTGCCTGTAAGCCTGTTGCTTCATGGGGAGGGGAGCAATGTGGAGTAGGTTGTCTTCATAGGTTTTCCCTCTTTCTTTCTCAGGTACAATATTGAGAGGATGCCAGATGATTACGGAGCTCCTCGATTCTAACCCGTCCAGCCAAGCTATCGACGCCAGGACTCTGAGCCAGGATAAGGGTCCTTCTGGTTCCAACCCTCCTGCTTTCTTTTTTGCTGGGACTCTGCTTATAGGACTGTGGGTGACATTGGACTGACTTCATAGCCTTGATCTTCTAGGAAAAAGCTACTTGGAAGAGTCTGTTTTTATTCATCCTAGTTCTGACTTGGCCTGATTACCTATAGCTGGGAGAAGCATATGGGAAAGAGAGGACGGCAGTGCCCAGAACATGCCTAACTCCCTCTTCATTGGGATGATTGGAAAAAGTGATTTCAGCATTCTGAATTAAATATTGGTGATGCAACTCTGGCTGAGAATGAAACCGCAGAAATTTTAGAAGTTTCTTATTGCTGCACCTGCAGCAGGACAAGTATTCCTCTGGGATATGCCCTCACACCTGTCCCACAAGCAAATTGGAATCTGCATTCTGGACAAAAGCTGCCAAATCTGCACCAGCTGGTGTGCCTTCTCTGGACCAGTGGTCTGGAAAATTTTAATTCAGAATTTATGGGCTTTTATTCAACTGTACAATGAATGAAGTTGGGTTAAGTGTCCTGCTCAGATTCCCATGTCTGTACTGGGTTAGCTGGCAGCTCGGTCCTTTTGCTTATATGCAGAGTGATGGCGGGAGGGCAGGGTTGGGTCGGGACAGACCTCTCCCTCTTGTTTGCTTGGCACCTGTGCACCTCAAAGCCTTACCCTTTTCGTTAGGTGTCAGGGAAGAGGAGGAAGGTGTCAGACTTCGACAGGAAGGTGCCAAACTGTGAAAGGTATTAATGTGGGCTGGGAGCAGAGTAGGTAGGGGGAATGGGAGCAATGGCTGCGGATCAAGAGAGTCTCACAGAGATCTGCAGCATTTGCTGCAGGGAAGGAAGTGGTCAGAGGAGGGACGGAAAAGAGGTGGTTAAGCCACATGGAGAAGTGCAGTGGAAAAAATATTTCAAAGCTGTAACTCTGCATTCTCATACCTTCTCCATTACTCTTTAATTTTTAGCAATATAATTTGCTCTTCTGATCTCCGCTCTGCGGTGAGGAGAATTGTCTTAAGACTGAGAGGTGAGAGACAATATGAGGGTCACCAGGGGCCATGCCGTAGTGTGCTTCCTGGCCAAAATGCTGGAGCTGGGGTATGGTAAAGGGGGAGACTGAAGATTTATGTTCTTGGTATAATTAAGAAAATTTCCAAACCTTAATAGAGTTTTAATCCTGTGGTGCCTTACACTGGTCCAGGCTGCAGAGAATAGCTGAACTCAGATGTCTGTATGCTGGGCAGCATACAGTGAAGATAATACCTCTCCTCTGCTAATCACTTCCTGTCCTTTGGAAGTGCCCTGACGTGCTAGTAACTTTCTTGCTAGCACCCTGCCTCTACAGATTCCAGGAAACTTTGGGAATACATCAGACTTACCCCTCGTACTATCTCTTTGCTTGCTGCAGGCTCACCTACTAAACTCATCCCTGAAGTAACAGCGTACTGACACTTTCAAAACATAGCCCCTTCCAAGCTATCACGATTGAAATTTATCTTCTCCACCTCTGTCATGTCCCACCTATGAGAAGGGGAGAGTGACTAAGGTCCGCAAATCCCCTCGGTGTGGATTAAGGTGAGATAACACTCAAGGTCCATACATGAACATCAACTTTAATGGAACAAACACTCTGTAAGCATCAGCCTTCTGTGTATTAATATGTCACATAAGCTAAGCAGCTTTATGAGAAGTTGAGGTAGGCCTTGTGTTACTTAGCAGCATCAAGGGCAAAGAACGAGAAGGAGGAGGGGGAGAGAGAGAGAAAGAGCTGGGAAGCAAGAGAGTGAGCGAGCGAGATCACCAATCCTGGATCCAGCGTCAGACCTGCCAACGGGAAGTGTCGGTGTGGAGAGCACCCCAAGAGGCTCATATGCGCCCCTGTTTATTGGACTGGGGTGCAAGGCTTCTGGACTCTTCTCAACGTGGGTTCAGGAGTGGTTGAGACATCAGTCAGTGAGAGTGTCACTGGGCCCCTCCCCGTGGCTGGCTTCTGGAGCTTTCTCTTGGGGCATTGCCTGTGCTCACAGCACAGTCACTTGGGCCTCGTCCCTTACAACCTCCAGCCAGGAAGAGGGTAGCCAACAACCCTGAGACTTTACACTCGGGGTATAATTGGACATTTCAAAAATAATATCCTTAGTTTTTTTCTCTCAATCTAAGTCACATTTCTTCAAGCTGAATCATAGAATCATTAAGGTTGGAACCCCCCCCCCCCCCCCCCCCCCCCCCCCCCCCCCCCCCCCCCCCCCCCCCCCCC